ACTCAGGCAGCTGCTGGCTGCTGAGGCTAACAAGCCCAAGGTTGACAAATAAAATGGCACAATCCTGATGTTACCAAACCACAGAACAGGCCATTAATTCAAGTCCATTGTAAGTCTCCAGGTTGGCAGAGCATGGCAGGCTGCTGAACAATGACACGGCTACATGCAGGGTCCAAGTGTGCCATAAGCTAAAGACTATCCCCAAGTCTTCTTATATATAGGAAGCAGACCACATCCCAAGGGCAGCTACTCCAGCTGCTTGCGTAGATCCCACCATGGAGTTGATTGCCAGTCTCATCATGGGGAATAACTACCACAGTTGCTTAGTCATCCTGGCAGGGACTACACAGTTATTCTCCGTTCTCTCCTCCTCTGCCACATCTCCTGAGCCCAGTCTCACTCCCAACACCTCTTTTCCACCTGTCTTCTCCACCCTCTGCTTACAGCTGTTAGCTTAGCTTCTGCTTCTCTCGTCCTTTCTCACTGGATGGTGGCAATGCCAGTTGCCTTCAAGTGGATTGTGACTCATGACGACCCCATGCATGTCAGAGAAGCTCTGAGCTCCATAGGGTTTCCAGCAGCTTGTTTCTCAGAAGAAGTTCCCCAGGCCTTTCTTCTGAGGGACTTGTGGGCGCCCTTGAATGTTTTTTTAGCAGCTGAGTGTGTTAACTGTTTGCACATCCCTGGGACTCTGGGACAGTAGCAATAGCTGCAATGGTCTCCTTTTCTGTACCTGTTTTGTTCCTCCACAGGAAACCTTCTAAAACCCATGCCAGAAGGGGTGACATGCTGTATTACAAGGGCCAGATTCCTGGTGGGACACAGAGAGCTCTGCAAATTGGTTCTGGGCTCCTGTACAGCATCTCTGTGGTCAGATGCCAACCCTCCCACAGTAGTACCACAGGAACACGCCTGGGACGACTGTTGTTGGGTGTTATGGAGTCCATTTTTGACTCATAGAGATCCCATGTGACAGACTGGAACTGCCTCATAGGGTTTTCTTGGCTATAATCTTTATGGAAACTTAAAGATAGGTCTTTGCAGAGCCTTTGGGTAGGTTCAGACCATCAACCTTTCATACGCAGCTGAGCACTTAACCTTTGCACTATCAGGGCTCCTTCTAGGACAACCAGTTCTTCCAAAACCCCTCGTGAGCTTTCTTGCCTGCTTGCCTTTGGTCATGTTCATTTGAATGTTTCTCGACCACACACTGCCCTTCTTAGCTGGGCTTAGCCCCAGCTGTGCTTAAAGATGCAGCTTAAATGGCACAGTCCATCCGTTCTTCCCAGGCCAGAATCTTGGCTGTGTTTGCATTCCCAGTACCAGGTACATGATAGAGGCTTAGACAGTATTTGTGGAAGTAAATTGAATGTTTTTTAAAATATAAATCCTTAGTATCATATCATTGAGCTCTGGTAGTATAGAGGTTAAGGCATTTGGCTGCTAACCAAAAGGTCGGTAGTTCAAACCCACCAGCTGCTCTGTGGAAGAAAAATGAGGCATTCTGCTTCCATGAAGATTTACAGCCTTGGAAACCCAGTGGAGGTCACTATGAGTTGGAATTGACTTGATGGCCATGAGTTTGGTTTAGTTTTTGAATACCATATTTTAGTTTGAATATAAAGCCAAATGGCAGCTTGTTAGCTTCCTTTTGCTGCTATAACAAATTCCCATAAACTTAGTGGTTCAAAGCAACACAAGTTTATCGTCACATAGTTTGGAGGTCAGAAGTCAAAATGGCTCCAGTAGGCTAAAATCAAGGTGATGGCAGGGCTGATTCCTTCTAGAGGCTGTCTGCATTCCTTGACTTACGGTACCATCCTCCGTGTTCAAAGCTAGCAGCCGGGCATCTTCCACTCTCTTTCTCTGATCTCTGCTTCTGTCATCATGCCTCCTTTTCTCTGACTGATCCTCTCGTCTCCCCCTTACGTGGACCCTGTGATTACACTGGACCTGCCTCGATAATCAGGGCCCTGGGTGGTGCGGATGGCTGAGTGCTGGACTCCTAACTGAAAGGTTAGCCAGTCAGACCCACCCAGGGGCACCTCAGAAGACAGGCCTGGACATCGGACCAGTCCTGCTCTGCACACGTAGGGTCGCCATTAGTCAGAATCAGCTCCACGGTGACTGACAGCAACTACCTAGAGATTGCTGGGTAACCTCCCCTTCTCAGAATCTGTAATCACATCTGCAAACCCATTTTGCTATGAATGGTAACATATTTACAGATTCAGGGGATGAGAACATTGACATCTTTGGGGGGCCATTACAACAGCAGGCTTTTTCACAAGGCGGGTGCTGAAAAGCCAAACTTTCAGAGCAACCACTTAAGAACTATTTGGATTTCATTGTGAATAATAATGGTATTAGATCAGCCACATAATTCATTGCACATATAGGAAGTCACTCAACATGTCTGTGCTCCTGGTTTGAGAGAGCAGCCTCATTACCAAACCCTGTGTTTGGGGCTCTCAGCTATTTTAGGGTGACTCGTGGTATGCTGCATGGGGATAAATGAAAAGACCTGCATATCTCTTGACCTCCGCAGTGAATAGAGGAAGCAACTTATCTACTTGTCTTCTCCTGGGAAGTAGGTGAATCCCCAGGAGGGTTTGTTACATGGACTCATCCACTGTTGTGGGCGACACATCTGTGCCTCCCTGATTAATTAGCCTGGAACCTGGGAGGGAAAAGGAAAAGATAAGACTGTGAAAATAATTGTCAGAATCCCCCAAACAAAGCCTGAGGCTACTGAGTGTCTCTTTCAGGAAGTTGTGGGTTCCAGATGGTTGCCTTTGAGGCATTAATCACTTCCTTGAGCCAGAAGAAAATGAAGATTAATAATAATTTGTAAAAAATTGCTCCTAAGAGGTTACATATGAAAGAGCAGGGAACATCAAGCTGAAGTTTGACAGGAAAGATCCATCGCTTATTGACCAGGGCCTGTTCTCTCCTCCCTGCTGGTAACCTTGGAATTGTTACACTTGTCAGCTTGCCAGCAGTCATGGAGAGGACACTTACATCATAGAATGTCAGCACCAAAAGGGGGCCTTGGAAATCGTGTGTGGTGAGACTGTGTGTGTATTACTTTATGATCCATCTAGGAAAGTGGAATAGTTGGGTGGCGGGGGAAGCAGAAAACAGGACTTCCCTTGAGCATGGCCTTCTCTTCATTTCTTTTTTAAGTAATATGTTGCCTTGATCCTGGTTGAAATTAAGATGGGAAGGCCTCAGAGAAGACAGTATGGAACAAGACTGTACTGTGCTTACTTCTATAGGGCTGGACCCCACTCCTCACCAGACCCATTCCTCAACCCACCATCGTGGAACCCATCTACACAGCTGATTAAGGGCCAGCTTTCCCAATAGGAAACAGGGATATGTGCTACAAGCCCTGTACTTAAGAAAGGAAGGAGCACTCGGTCAACAAATACTTATTGGTGGTTATTATGGCCAAGCCTGGACTAGACAGTGAAGATGAGTAAGGCACAGATGATGTTCATGGAGCTTCAAGGAGACAGACTCATAAGGGGACACTTAGGGTGCATGCAGTGTGTACGGGGAATCAAGGAAGTACTAGGAGCAGTGCCTGCAGCAGCCTCGGCTGAGTTGCAAACAGCGGTGATGGAGAGGAGACAGCATGAGCAAAGGCAGGGAGGCTAAAGCTTGCCTAGAACACCTGAGTGGTGGTAGGGCAGGTAACATATGTCAGACACAGGACTTGGGTACAGAGGGTGAAGGTGAAGTTGTGTAGGCCTCATGGTTCTAGCATGGATGACATCAGCTGCACTAGAATATGAGGAAGAAGGAGAAGGTTGCAGGGAACAGATGATGAAGTCAGGTGGGGACAGGTTGAGTTGACAGTGCCTGTGGGGCAGGACCTGGCAGGCAGGCTTTTCTGGCCAGCCCACCTGTCTCACTGAGTCTCCCTCTCCTGAGCCCCACACTCTTTCTGGCCAGACCTTTGTGATGGCCAGTTGCCTCTAGTGGGCAGATCTCTGTGCCTTCCCAAGGAAGCCAGGGACATCTTGAGGAATGTATCTGCCATAGTCTAGAAGGGGTTACCAGTTCTTACATTAATAGAAATTAAAATAACTCATCTGCAGTTCTATCTACAATTTCCTTGCTTAGCATCAGATACAAAGAAAGCATGGTGATTCATCAACAGATGGGGGTCTCTATCGGCATTTATTTTTCATAGACACTTTGATCTTTAAACACTGTCCTCCAGCCATGGCAGTGAGAAATTTACTTGAATCACGTGTTTTTTTCTGAAGCCGAGTAATTTCACCATCAGGTATCCTTTTTGTCAGCAAAACAGACGCTAAAAGCTAGCATCAGCCACACACCTCCTGTGGTGTCTGGGTTAACACTGTGATATGAGGCTGCTGCCGTCTCACCCTGAGATCTCCCTGGATCTGAGGAGGAGAGTGTTGAGCAGAATCCAACGCCTTTGATGGGCTGTCAGGCTGGGTGTCTCTGTGTTCCAGCGTGCCCTGTCATTGCCTGTCAGTTGTCTGTAGAAGCTGTGGGGCCGAGCCATCCTCTGTGCACGTGTTCTCCCATCAGAGCCCATTGTTTAGCTTCAGCTGCACCACTGTGTTTGTCGTTCTATCACTCATGAAAATTCATGCTCATCTCAAGCCTGTTTTTGTTTTATCACCATAATATTTATAGCATAATATTTGTTATTGCACTAGATAGATGGTTTTAGCAAAATCCTGTTTTCATGAATGGTGGTTAGATATTCCAGGAGCTTGACAGACTAGATCTGGAGGATGCTGTAGTCATTTTACTCAGAAATGAGTGAATTCATAGTATGATCCATATAAAAACTGCCCCTCTGTGTAAGGAAGTTAGAAATGTGATTTTGGTTTTTTAACCCTTACCTCACTATTTACCACTGACATATTGGCTGCTAGCTCAGTTAATTTTCATAACCAGAGTGTTCATTGGTCAAGGTTACCTTTTCTGATGTCTGACACATTTTCTGTGCACAGGGATTTTGCTTATGTAGCAAGAGACAAAGATACAAGAATTCTGAAATGTCATGTATTTCGATGTGACACACCAGCAAAAGCCATCGCCACAAGTCTCCACGAAATCTGTTCCAAGGTAAGGTGGGTCACTGCTCGAGCAGGTGAAGGGCTGTGATAGTCAAGCTCGGGGCGATACAGACAGGCTGTTGATTCAGCCAGCATCACTAATGAACTCTTGTTAGGCGGGCATTGCTCTAAATGGCAGTTCTGTACAGAATGTCCCTCCCACCATCTGGAGGTATGAGACATGGGCAGAACAGTGGCACAGACAGGAGCAGAGGTGTGTACACTGAGACCAGCTGGAGGACGGGGGAAGGGAGTCAGGGCCAACTTACCCAGGTAGGGCCACCTGAGCTGAGCGTAAAAACAGGTAGAAAATGTTACAAAGACAAAGGGAGGGTGATGAGAAACCACAGGGTGTTTATGGAAATGCAGACAGCTGGGTTTCACTGTGAACACCTACCAGACTTCACAAGGTCACACATCAGCTCGTGGGAGCTCTGACTAGCTGCAGTCTGTCCCATGCTAGTAAAGGTCACCCTTCCCACACTAAAGTCACACAGTCTCAGAAATGACGAGAGAAGGCCTGGCGTCACCAGTCCAGCCTCACTCCATCCCTCCAGCACAGTATTCAGACACCTCTATCCTCTGCCTATACCTCTGCTGCAGAGGCCTCTTACTTTTCAAGAGACTGTTCTGAAGAGGCACCCTGGTGGTGCAGTAGGTAAGGCATTTGGCTGCTAACCAGAGGATTGGCAGTTCAAACCACAAGCTGCTCCATGGGAAGAAGATGAGGCAAACTACTTTGGTAAAGATTGACTGCCTTGGAAACACTATGGGGCTCACTATGAGTTGGTATCCAACTCAGTGGCAGTGGGTTTTGGGTCATTGTTGAGCAGCTCTGGCTGTTACACTTCTTCCTCCCCAGACCCTCCATGTATTTGCCTGGATCTCCCATTGGTTGCAACAGAACAGGCTCCCTCTAGTTTGTCTCTTTCCTGGACAGCCCTCCAGACATCTGAGGCCATGTACCATGCCTGGCATGTCTTAGAGGTGCTTGACAAGTATTGATGTCGAGTCTTCCTGCTCCGATTTCCTCCCTTCTCCGGCCTCTGCAGCTGCTTTTTGTGTCACGTGGTTCCCAGGCTCCTGACCATCCTCTCATGGGCACACCGTGGTTGATTCCCCCCAGTTGGATGCAGGGTTCCGAAAGGGAACCAGCCAAGAGGAGGCTGGGGCTGCTCTCCTTTGATCTCCAAGAGTGAACAGTGTTGGGATTTTTTTTATGTTTTCAGCAACCATGTATCACCTACTGATGTGTGTTCAGATGGTGGGTAACCAAACCCTCCAGGGTACCGTCATATGGACTTCTTCAGCCAGGTCTTTCCTCTCCCCAAGTTTAATTTACCAAATAAAAATGCAGGACTTTGCCATCACCTTGTTGAATGTTACCTTTCAGGTCTCAGGCTGACATCATGACCCCAGCGTCATTCCCACTAATCCTCTTGTGCTAGGAAGACCCAGGCCCCAGTCCAGCCTGGTATCTTAGCGCCAGGAGTAGCAGATGGAAGCCACAGAGCCCACAGGAGGGGCAGGGGCTGAGAGCTGTCCTCAGCCCCCAAACTGAATAGCTCAACAGTCTGTTGCTATGACCCACGTCACGGGCGTACGTGCTGGGTGCTGCTCTAGAGATCATACATTTATTCCAGCCCATGTTTACGTTCTCACAGTGACAAGACTGGGATGTGGCTTCACCTTTTGCTACCGTATGCGGTATCAAGTGAGCTCCCCAGGTATCATTTTATTCACTCACACAGCAAATATAACTGAGTGTCATTTATGTGCCAGATGCTAATCTAGGCCCTGGGGATACAGCAGAGACCAAATCAGAAAAGAATCTTTGCCCTTACGGAGCTTATGTTGTGGTAAAAGCCCTTAGAACAGGATTAACACACAGTAACCAAACCAAAAACCAAACCCATTGCCATGGAGTAGATTCTGACTCCTGGCGACCCCATGTCTCACAGAGTAGAACTGCTCCATAGGGTTTTCTTGGCTGTAATCCTTACAGAAGCAAATCACCAGGCCATTCTTCCATCGCACCACAAGGTGAGCTTGAACCTTTAACCTTTAGGTTAGTAGTCAAGCAAAAATCACTTGTGCCACCCATAGGCCTTGGCAGAGAGTACCCCCCCCAAAAAAAAAAAAAGTCGAGTTGATTGTGACTCATAACAACCCCTCCTTGGGTTTCTGAGGCAATATCTCTACAGAAGTAGATTTCCCAGTCTTCCTTCTGAGGAGTGGCTGATGGTTTCCAAGCTCCAAGTGCTCAATAAATTGTAGGGTTTTTTTTTATTGTCAGCAGCCCTTTTGCCCACCATCCCAGGTACAGATCTGGAGATGGAAGGAGTAGACCTCTGGGGAGGAATGGATAGCTTAGACTGGGATAGTTCCACCTGGAATGGATAGCTTAGACTGGGATAGGTACTTTTGGAGTCACTGACAGGTGGACTTCTTTCAGTCCCTAAATCCACGGTGCTGTGTAACTGGCTGAGGAACAGGAATGAAAAGTGGTGGCCCTTAAGGAAAGGTCAGTGTCTCTAGTACAAGAGAGAATATTTGGATTTAACCCATCTGAGAATAATAACAGTGATGTTGTTAGCTGATATTGTATGTCAGCCTTGTGTACAACAGAACAAGACACTACCCAGTCAGATACTATCTGATCATTGCTATGTCCTTCTCCTGCATTCAGTCACTCCTGATGGCACATCCAAAGTAAGCAAGCAGAATTCTTGGACTGTATTCTGTGCTCTGTAGGGTTTTCAATAGCTACTTTCCAGAGGTAGGTTACCAGGCCTCTCTGTCTAGTCTGCCTCGGTCTGGAAGCTCCACTGAAACCTGTCCACTACAGGTGACCCTGCTGGTATTTGAAATACCAGTGGCATAGCTTCCGGCATGCAGGCAACACGCAACAGTGGCAGCTAGTATTTCTGAGCACTGACTTCGTATCTTCACTCATTTAACCCTCAGAATAGCCCTCTGACATCGTTACTATCACTATCCTCATGTGCAGATGAAGAAACAATACACACAGTGCTCGGGTGACGTGCCCAAGGTCACATACTTAGTAAATGGTGGGAGTGGGATTTGAACCCATGTAATGTGTCCGCATGTGGAACAGAGGCATCTGAAGAAACAAGGAATGTCCACTGCTTTGTGTCACACTGATCACAGTGGGCCAGCAGGTCCACGTGTGACCAGGGACAGGGATATTCATTTATTAATCAGTAGAGGGGAGAGCCTCCTGAATGGAGGAAGTAATTTCAAATAATGAAGAGATTGCTGTTTGTCTGAGGAACAGTCATTTACACGTTATCCCCAGAGAAGATGAGCACAAATTTTTAATAAAATATACAGATAAATTTGTGCAGTACTTGGTCATGTTACCTCTGGATCACCCAGTTGGTATGTAAAGCAGTTATATTCCCACTTTGCAAAATATGTAGAGATACTCAAACCAAACTCACTGCCATAGAGTCAACTCTGACTCACAGCGACCCCCTTTGGGTTTCCGAGGCAGTGAATCTTTATGGAAGTAGATTGCCCCATCTTCATTCTGCAGAGTGGCTGGTGGGTTTGAACTGCCAGCCTTCTGGTTAGCAGTCAAATGCCTTAGGGACCGTGCCTCCAGAGCTCCCTGGCAGTAGAGTAAAGCTTACTTAAATTGGATATGAAATCAGCTCAGACATTGGAGCTGGAATAGCTGAAGACACGGCGCCTATACCCATGAACCAAAGCAGTGTGTTCTCTTTGTCATTAGATTATGGCTGAACGGAAGAATGCCAAAGCCTTGGCCTGCAGTTCCTTACAGGAAAGGACCAATGTGAATCTTGACGTTCCTTTACAAGGTAGGCTGGCAGCTTCTCGTCTTTTCATTGTGTCAGTCCTGGTCCAGAACTGAAGGGTCTCGGGAGTTTCCCTGGCCTTTCTCTTCTCCTAAAGAGCCACACTGGATTCAGCACACCTGTGTTGCACCTCCACTATGAGTCCTTCATGGCACAGGCCTTTGCATCCACTGAATGAGGCACAGAGCGCCAGGATGGGGTTTTGCTGTTGTTGGACATGGTGAAAGGATATTGTCTTTAGTGGTTTTATCACTCATGTGCAGCCTGAATTAAGGGACACCTTCTGGGAGGACGTCTTTACTTATTTTTCCCATTTCTCTGATTACATTTTTTGTGATAAAATTTTCTCCAAACATCAACCACACCTAACAAATAGAACATCAAAAGCTGTTACTTAGCACACATCAAAGAGACAGTTAACAGCTTTCACACATAGATTCTAGCTTCTGCTTTCAAATGCTTTCCTCCCTAGAAATGAAAGTTGAATGAGAATGACTGCTAGCCTCCCCAACGACTGGCATGAGAAATGTTGTTCTTGTAGAACAGTGGCCACATTTACCTGCAGACCCTCTGGGATATTACGACACACACAGGTGGAGTCCGGGGCCCTTCAGGTGGCACAGTTGATGGCTGTTTTTTATAAGCTCATTGGAAGCACTGAGAAAGACTTGTTGCTTTTGTTCCCTGTAGTAGATTTTCCAACGCCAAAGACAGAGCTGGTCCAGAAGTTCCATGTGCAGTACCTGGGCATGTTACCTGTAGATAAGCCAGTCGGTATGTAAAACAGTTACTGTTTGCAAGTGTTTGGGAGCTCAGGGGAGGTGTCCCTCCTATCAAGAGGGTGAGCGCTCATGTGTGACTCCCTTGCTTTCCCTTGAATCAGGCCTTGCACCATCACAGCAAGAACACCCAAACAGTCCTGAGCAACAGAGGACATGCTAAGCTGCATAAAATATATTGTTACCGCCAAGTTGATTCCGACTCACAGCTACCTCGTGTCTGTCAGAGTAGGACCATGTAGCTGACTCTTCGGAAGTAGGTCACCAGGCCTTTTGAAGTGCTTCTGGGGTTGAATCCCAGGCGCTGAATTGTTTGCACCAAGAACAAATCTAAACCAAACCCACTGCCATCAAGTCGATTCCAACTCATAGACCCCCATTGGGTTTCTGAGACAGTAAATCTTTACGGAAGTAGATTGCCCCATCTTCTTCCTGAGGAGTGGTTGGTGGGTTTGAACTGCCAGCCTTCTGATTAACAGTCAAATGCCTGAGGCACTGCACCACGTACCACCAAGAACGTAGGGACTTAGACAAATAGACATGGATTTCTCATTCACCCAACAATCCAGAGATGTGCAGTCCAGTGCTCTGAATATTGAGAAGGGCTCTGCCATCCTCAACCTGGGACTTCACCCCTGGGGCCCGATCCCTTTCAGTTGTGGTCGGCTGATGGGCCGGGACAAAGGGCTGAGGGAACTCTCCTGCTTTCCTTGTAAGGGTGTAACCCAAAAGAAGCCCATACAACAGTCAATTCACATCTCAGTGACAGACTTAGTTTCTTGGCCATACTGCTGGGATAAAAAAGGCTGTAGGAATGGCCATTAAAAAAGCCTGTTGAACAGCACATATTACTCATACAAATCTGGTCTTATTTAAACAACAAAGTAAGGAAAGGTTCCCTAAGTATCCTGCCACACGCACTAGCTTCCATTGGGTCTTCTGTCCTAAGGATTCCTGCCTAGAAGAAGGTAGTACTTGCTTGAGGACTCAGGGATAGTGTGTATAGAGCAGGGGATGTTTGGAGAGAGATGGATATGGTGGTTTGAATTAGAAAAATGTCCTGCCACACACTGCATCTCTGGAGGCATCCGTGTCCCTTCTCTCTGACATTCCCTTTGAACAAACATGAAAATGGAAGCTTTAGCTTCATACCAGAAAAGCCTATTAAGGGACAACTTTATCTGGAGTATTTTTGTCGTCTTGGACTAGGAAAAAAAAGCCTTGGTGTTGCTATTACTAGGTGATCTAGGCCCACATTTAATAGTGAAAACAGCTTTAGGACCTTTGTTCAGTTAACCTTTCTCCCCACAGGAATGGACACCCTGAACAGTGCCATAGAAAGTCTCATGACCTCATCCAACAAGGAGGACTGGCCGTCGGTGAACATGAATGTAGCCGATGCTACTGTGACTGTCATCAGTCAAAAAGTAAGCAGAACTGTGATGCCATTGGCCCCTCTGGGAGACAGTGATGTCTTTGGATACAGTAGTCTTCCATGAGCCCAGAAACACAGACAAGCCTTACTTTCTAGGGAATTATGCTTGTGATTAAAATGGGCTACATACATACATATATTTAATAACTGTTTTACCCATTGTATGCATCTAGATCTGCGTCCACCTTGGCTTTGCTGTGGACTCAGAAGTATTCATTCTGATTCCCCTGATTCGTTCTTATTTATGTGCCCAAGAGGTTGAAATTGTTTGCTCAAAGTGGCTCTGTGACACTCGCTCACCAATGGGTTTTTGTTTTCTAGCCAGCGAGTCTCGGAGCTTCAGAATTGACTGGGCTGTTTCATCTGTGGTTGGGCTACAGGAGGTATTCCTGTTATGGAAGGTTCTGTGGTTTGTTCTGTCGGGAGTAGCAGGGACCATTGCTCATCTTGAGAGAGGCCAGCATTAGCTTCGGCCCAAATTATCCTAGTTCTGTGCTTGAGGAAACTGGGGCACAAAGAGGCTAAGTAACTTGTCCAAGATCACACAGCTAGAAAGTAGCAGGGCCATGATTCAAATCAAAGCAGTGTGGTGGTACTTTTCTGCCTCTTTGAACTCATGGCAAGACTACAAGTTCTTGACCTGCTCTTCCCCTTCAAGCCCAATTCACCTTTTAAAGGAGTAGGATGCTCACTGACCTGGCTCCCCCTCCATCCTGACATGCTGGATTGTCTCCAGTTCTTCCAGAAGGCCACACCCTTTCCTACTTCAGCAGGGTCTTTGCACGTGCTGTTCCTTCTGCGGTCCACTCTTTGCTTACCCCAACCCTTGTTCTAGAGCTCAACTTAAACGTCATTTCTTCTAAGAAACTTTCCTGGCCCCTCTTAGTAGGTTAGGCTGCCTGCTAAGCATTCCCATAGCCTTAGCCACCACTGGGTTATCTTCCCCAGTCTCATGTAAGCTCCCCAAGGGCAGGCTGCTTATCAGATTGGCTCCCCACTCCAACCCTTGGTGTTGCACAAGGAGCTGTTGCCTGGAGTAGGTGCTCAAGGACACTGGAATGAACACTGACTAAGACAAGATGTTAATGATCCACTAGTCAGTATTCTGGATGTGCTTACTAATTCAAACCTTGCATTACAGTCATTACATAGCATGTGGTGTTCATAGCCTCATATGAGACGGTCTTTATTTA